AAACAAACAAACAAACAAAAAATGTGAAGGACCTGGTACCATGATGGAATGGAGTTCTGGCTCTTTGGAGACCTCAACTTTTATTCCTTCACGAGCATCTAGTGAGCACCTGCTAAGTAAGAAGAAGGATGCCAGATGCTCACAGAATGCAAGATGAGAAAAAGAGCAATGAAGGAACAAAACAAAGAAATGGGACAATTTAGTGACCAACTTGACAGAAGAGGAAAGAGAAAGGTAAAAATACACAGAAGCTCAGAAGCAGAGACCAGAAGATACAGGGGCCCCCATCCAAGAGCTGTCATTAAAGATGGCAGGACACAGGCTGACAGACAGCAGTTCATCAGGAGGAGAACCAGCTCTGAAAGAAAATGGAGCTCGTTCTGGACGTGTGAAGCATGACAAGCCACTAGGATTGCAGTGGAGGTGGTTAAGACACAGAACTTAGAACCCGGGAAAAAGAACAGAGCTAGAGATGTGAATCTGGGACCAGCTGCCACAGAGGCCACGTGTGGACACAGTCACCAAAGCCATCCTACCTCAAAGTCAGTCTAAAAGCCTCACTTCCATCATTATTTCATTTCCATAAACTCTAAGAAAGTGTCCTCCAGCCGTATTTCATTTCTAATCAATTCCTTAATGATTATATATATAATCAAAGAGGTCTGATGAAATCAACATGCTTGCATTACGAGGCCAAGAGGCTAACTTTCTCTTTCCATTTGTCTTCTTTTCAGCTCATTCTGTTATTTTCTTAAAAAAAAATAATTAATCAAACTAATGAAGCCATAGCACTGTCAAGTCTTAGGTCTGGGGGAGATTTCAGAGAAAAGTTCCTTTCCTGTGGCTCCATGCATTCAGTTTTTATGGGCGTTCATGTCCAACTCACGTCAGATTCCTGCAGGGCTACTCTGAAGAAAAGCCACCTGTTCTAAGTCTGGCTCCCTTACTCTTGGCAGAGTTGATGATTTCATCTTGCTTATCTTATGCTTGGCTTCACTGTAAAATGATCTGGTTTCTTTTAGAAGAAAGAAGGAAAAGTACTGAGTTCTGATACGTCTTTCTCCCAAGCTGACTGAAAGGAAACTCAGTGGAAAAGTTGAACAAAGCCAGGATAGGATGTTTCTGTGAAGAAACTGACAGTTTTCAGTGTGTGGCCACAAATGGTGAATGACAGACATAAACTAAACCAGGAGAAGATGAGCTCTTGAGGTCTGTGCTGACAACTAAAACCAGGGCTGGACTGACCATGCGGGACCAGCAGAGCAACCCCAGGACCCCTTCCCCCATCTCCAGCCTCAGATCTGCCCCACGTGGTCAGATCTAAAAAAAAAAAAAAAAAAAGCAAAAAAACTTTTTTGGTGCTTTCTATCTTCCCAGGAATCTACAAAGCATTGCACAGACATTTCTTATTCAATGCTCACAACGGTGTGAAGATGATGGGGAAGAGTGGGGGAGGGGCAGGGCTCCCGGGTCCCTAGCTCACTTGGGAACGGGGTCAGTTCACAGCCAAGGGAGAGTTGTCTAACTTCTAGAAACCTTTCCTCTTGGGCAGAAAATGGATATAATAACGGTACCTATTTTAAAAGGATGTTGAAAGGATTAAACCAAGTTGAGTACACGTAGCGTGCATAGCACAGGGACTGGCCCAGGGCAGCACTCGGAAAGGTTAGCTATTATTATTATTATTGGTGGTGGTGGTGGTGGTGTTACCACCGCCCCAATCTTGCTCCTAAGAGGACTAAAGCTCAGTAGTGATGTTAACATGAAGATCACTCAGCGGGTCGAGAACGCCGGAATCTGAAGACTAGCCCTCATTCCACAGCCGTCGGAGAGGGGACGATGGAGAACCAGAAGCGGCAACTCTCAGAACCACCGCATCTGACAACGTGAGAACTCCCGCCGCCCCTTCAGCACATCCTGCTACTGTGTATCCAAGACTGGGTTTTGCCTTTGCGATTCTTCTTCCAAAGCTGTCTTTGCTCGCATTCTGCATGGCTCTAACATATTACTGAAGATAAATTAACTTGGACACCCATATTTTAGAGTCTGTGATCTTGAGAACACAGCCTGGGCCTGACCACACTAATTAGTACTAATTAGTAGGAGAGAAACAATCAGCCTTATGCCTTAAGTCGAAAGAAAACAGCCATATTCTTTTTTTTTTAGGTTTTTTTTTGGGGGGGGTGGGAGTATATTCTTTCAATAGAAATAGAACCAGAACTAGGCTTACACAGTGCAGCTTCGCTGAGATGCATCAGGAGGCCAGCTATAGGATTAAATTTATAATTATGTATAATTAGTACATCAATTATAAGTAAATGGTGTTTTAAGGAGCTGGATAAAACAATTACTTGGTTAAGCAGCTTAAATATTCCCTGTTCCACTCTTCACCGCTTCTTTATTCATAAAGGATACAAAGGTTAATTTCGGGCCAGCCCATGCAATCTAAACTAAAACCAACTTCAAATTGAGGCCACGCAAATTAATGAACTGTTTCTATGGGAGCTACCCTAAACAATACAGAAATGGAAGGAGGCGGGCAAAGAAAAGACAAAGAGGTAAGTCCATGAGAGAGCTATCCACGGAAAGGGCCACTTCTGTACTCCAGATACCTGGGCTCATTCCCCAAGTGGCAGGGTGATGCCAGACACCCCCTCCTCACCCAGATCCCCGCCAGCACGACCCGCCTCGTGTTAGACTTTGCCTATGAGGCCGTGGAATGGCCTTTCTTTCCACCTTAAATCAGGAGCTGATTTAGTCCAGAAGCCAGCCCTTAAGCCCTGGGGCACAGAATGTGGGAGCGGGAAGGGGAGCAGGGAGGGAAAAGGAGGCTGAGTGAAGAAGTAGAGGGCGGTGAAGGAGTGAGAGAGTCTCTGTTACACTTACACACACACACAGTTTAGAGCAAAGCAAAAATGCTACTTCACATAGAAAAACATGCCCGCTATTCCAAGTAGGGTTCCATTCAGAGCAGGTGTAATGCCTACCTACTAAGGAAATTAGTTTTAAATAATAGAGCATCTGCAGAAAAAGGAATCAGATACCAGGAGACTCCGGGAGTCCCCTCCCCCAGGGGCCAGTCCATGTACATCCTCTCTGTGATCCTGCCACTGGGACAGCCCGGGACGCCTGTCGCCTGGTTGGTGGACTCACCTGTGTTCCCACACAGGGGAACAATCTTGAGGACTGAGATGTCTCACCTCTGAGTTCTCCACAGCACAGAGCCTGGCAATCAAAACTCCCTGAATTAAACTGAATGTGACCAGAAACAAAATTTCCCACGTGGCGAATTTTAGAAAAGCTCTCAGTCTCTCTCTGATCAAGTGTTACACAAACACTGCCCTGGACTGAACTTACCTCTGAACATTTCAACCTTTAAAAATAATTTGGGTGGGTGCATGGGTACAGCTCAGTGGTGCAGTGCCTGCTTAGCATGCACGAGGTCCTGGGTTCAATCCCCAGTACCACCACTTAAAAAATAAAGAACTAAATAAGCCTAAAAATAATTTGGACCAGGAACAAGGGAGAAAGAGACATGGGGAGTCACGACTTTAATGGACAGTTTCTGTTTCAGGTGATAGAAAAAGTTCTTGAGATGGATGGCGGTGATGGTTACACAACACTGTGAATGAACTTAACGCCATTAAATTGTCCACTACAGACGGTTAAAATGGAAAATTTTATGTCATGTATATTTTACCACAATAAAAAAGTAGCTGGTGAAAAAAATAATTTAGTAGCTTACAAACTTGATTTTAGGGCTAAAAACCTGGGAGCATGAAACGAGAGAAGAGGAAGTCAGTTAAGTGCCCTGCCCTCGCTGATGGAATATGGACTAGGCACTAGGAACCGGGTCCAATAATCTATTAGACTTAATGAACCAAGTCACCGCTCTCTGACGTCAGGCCCCAGTCACTTTCAGCTAAGGTGTTAAACTTCCCTTCCCGAAAGGGCTCCCCATGTAAACAGATGCGCGGTCCCGCCTTATCCAAATACTTTACCATTCTTGGTAACTAAATAGGCGGGTTTACGGCTCACTTTAGCATAGATTGAAGCTTTCCCAGTCTAAAATTCTTTAAAAGGAAAGAGAGAAAAGTTTAATACTGACTAAAGTTACCTCACAGGAAAAAAACAGTGTGATAAAACCAAATTAAGTTCAACTTTCTACCTTCGGAAAAAACCACTTGGAAGTTGGCTTCTTTCTAAGGCATAAAGCTTAACCCACAATGTCTTAAAAAGTGTAACCTAAGGTAGCAATTAGCACACGTGATGGTAAAAGGAAGTCAGTGCGTATCTTGTCTTATGGACAACCCAGAAAAATTAACAAGAAATCCAGATCAGTCTGGAGTTTTTCCCGAACCTGGCCCTGCACTCAATAGCCAAGTTTCATTGGTAGAAGCCACAGCTTCCAGGTTCTGACATCTGTTACTAACTTTGGGTTTAAACAGCAGCCAGGATTTCTTTTCTCCTGATCACGGATAATTGAGCGTATGGATGGCGGGATGGGGAGGGCTGTGCTGCCTTCCGTTAGGTACAGGACCTTTTTTTGTTTGTTTGTTTGATTAGGTGATCCACACGTGGCTCTGGCCAAGCCACCCGAGGAGGCCCCTCCCCTCACTCACGTAGCACCGCTCCGTGGAACTCACCTAACGTCCAGGCAAAGTAATACTTGGGCTTCGAGGCTTGCATGACGACGTACAGGTAGCAGAGCCGAGCCAGAAAGTTTGCTCTGTGAACAAACCAGTCGTCAGCCAGGCAGGTGGCAGGGAAGGTCTTTGTGAGGGTCAGAAACAACAGGAGAGACACCAAGGTCATGCACAGTTTGTGTATCACAGCTCCCTGAAAACGGGGGGCAGAAAATGAGGGTGAGCATTCAGAAGCCTTCTCCAGAAGGAGTGGCGGGAGGCATTCGTCCTGACGGCAGAGACTGCGTGACGGGCTGCAGTCCGACGCAGGGTACACCTCGGACCCTGCGGGTGTATCTGCAACAGAAGACAACTTTCACCAGCAAGTTCTACCAATGAGGGCCTGGAGGTCTCCTTTCCCAAAACATAAGAGAAATCAATAACCCTCCAGGGTGGCAATCTTCCATCAGAAAGACAGACCCACTGGCCTTCCACTTTGCAGCAGGCAGGGCCCAGGAAATGGGTTTGAATTCCCAGCGAGGAGCACCCAGGCTTAGCTAGGGAGAGTCACCGTCCGAGCCAGGACGTGGGCAGGTCGTGGAAAACTTTAGAACACCCTTCAGGATGGTTTACATGCAGTCTGCTCTGCGGTTAAGATGCACTGAGGTTTTTAATTCCCCTGGCCGGATTAATTCTGCCCGATCCCCCTGACATTTCAGGGAATGCCAGCTAACAGTTACAGCTCCTGATTTTTTATAAACACACTGCTTTGATTTGTAATTTAGTGACAGCAATAGCACCTCCCTCACGGGGCAGCTTGGGGCTGAAGCGCGTGAGTATTTACAAGGTACTGAGAACAGTGCCGGGCTCCCGGTTAAGTGCGCACCACGATTCACTATGACACCACCGAGGGGGGCAGCAACTTGCGAGTGCCAGGTCCCCCCCACCATCAGTGTGTCTTTAGCCAAAATGCAGCCTCACCGCTTAGCAATCTCTGTGCACAGAAATGCAAGCGTCTCCTTGGAGAGTGATGTGAAGACTCTCTGATAATATCATTTTTCAAATAAAAGCATGTGAAACAAACACAGCACTCCTGCGACAGAATCTGCCCAGAAGCCTGTGGTTACTTTGACGTCTCACAGCCATGGCGACCTCACTCTTAGATTTTGTCAATAAAGCTGCTGGAGCCCAGACTCACCCTGAAGTGCGAGGACCCGACTATGTCAAAGCTCTGAAATTCATGCTTAATTAATCAGTCACTTACATTTTCAAATACTCAAGATTGCGCAGACGTTTGCATTTTTAAATAACTTATTCTCAATTTCCCCTTTTCCAATTTTCTCCATCCCATCAATTGATTACAAATTTCCCTTAAATCTACGATATTTGATCTGAATGAATTCAGCACAAGGGCCAAGTTCAATGAGTTACCCTAATGCTGACAGATTTGAGATGAATACATTTCAGATTAAAATTAAAATATGATTTCAAAAAACCATCTTGAACTCTCTTGACGTCAATAAAAGCGAGCACCAAGCATGCGGGTGTAAAACTGGTTTCCCTTGCCAGAAGCAGGTTCTTCAGTCAAAAGCACATTTATTCTGGTCCCTGCTCTTTCCCCCACCACCTTTTGTGACACAGTATCCTTGGGCTGTCTATGAATTTCTATTCATTAAGACAAAACGCCCATAAATCTGAATGTGTTAACTAGCCCAATGCTGAGCACATCGTAGGCACTAAATATTGGCTGGTTGGCTAATGGGTGAGTTGCTTCAATATCCCCAGGCAGTGAGCTCCTTTGTGAAATAAACTTCTGTTGCTCCGACACAGAGAACCACGGCAAATACAGACCAATACTGGTATTTTAAAACAAATAGGGGGGAAGTTATCGGCCAAGCTTTCTGGTAAGGTGTTTGGCTTTTAATTAGAATGTGTTTAGTGACAGTCAGCCCGGGCAGCAAAGCTCTGTTTTCTGGACCTCTGAGTCAATACTTGGCACTAAAAACTTACAGTGGGAGAAGGTTCTGGCAGGCTGTGGAAACCTTTTTCCTTCCAGTTCACTTCCAGCAATTTCATGTGTGTATGTCTCCCCTCAATGAAGGCTACATAATCCTTGAAATTGTTACAAGGGCCAGCTATGACACTCATGAAGTTGAGAAGGTAGCTTAAGTATTCCAAAAAGGAGGGTTTTGCTCTGCGAAAATAAAGTGAAAAAGTTGAAGAGTCTTCAGTCTTTGATTTTTCTTTCATGTTTTCAAATGTACCCATCGTAAACACAGGTGTTATTTCCGTAGCTTGTTAAACGTAACGTGATCTTTCCTTGTTCTGTTTCTTTAAAAGTCCGCCTAAGAGAGAAATCTAGTTGAAAGGACGTTAATGAGGTGGGTGGCTCAGGGGAGGCGCAGCACTCCGTGGCGCCCTCTGCTGGCCAAGCACAGCTATAACCGCGGAGGACCAGGACTGGGGCAAAGGTACCTCAGAGGCTGGGATATAAATGTTCTTTCTCCACAACCTTGGCTGTCTGTCTACCCGAGAAAGTGAAGGCAATTAAAGCTAAGTAAGGCAGGGTGGGAACCTGACCTAATGTTAGTGGGTCCAGATGCTTTGAAATGGGAAAATTCCCTCCCAACTGCCAAAATAAATGCAAAACAAATGATGGGTGGAACTGGTTTCCATTTGAAGAGGCCGCACAGGACTATCACTGTACAGTCTCTCATCTGCTCTGGCATCCAGGCACAAGGTCCTGGACAGCAGACAAGGGTCGTGGCAGGAAAAAATTCTGTAGAGACCAGTTCTGTCTTGTGTTTTTAATGGCATTTTAAAGGGCATACCCTGCAAGCAGGAAAGAATTGTGGGGAAAAGCCCCCTAAGATGCCATGGCTAACCCATCACTGGAATTATGCCCTAGAGAACTGACACCCCATGGTGCTTAGCAAAGAACTTGATTCATTAGAACCGTCCAATGGTTCTCTCTGCATTGCTTCCAGGTCCCAATTCCTTCAGGACAGGATGAAACACTCCATCTCCCTACCACCTAGGACCCTCTCTTACACATCCCAGTGGGAACCCCCGCCATGGCTGCACCACTGTCCCCAGAGTGCCACATGCCACTCCCAATTCCTGTATCAGTGTTAGCCTCCCACTCTACACAGCCCCCCTCCCTCTCCAGCACCCCCACCCCTGCCCTGTCTACTGCATGTCAACACTGGCCAAAGTCCTCCTTCCGCCTGTAGCTTCCTCCTGTTCCCCAGCCCATTTTTCTCTCTCCAGCCCCACTTCCTTTTTCATGCCAGGATTTAATCCTACTGATGTGCATTGATCATTAACCCTTTCTCAGAGACCCCCAGACACATGCCCGAAAAAATCAGACAGAACCACCCCAGTGAAGGAGAATCCTACAAAACTAACAAAATTACAGAGCCATTTACCCTTTGGTCTAGCACTTTCACGTCTGGGAATCTATCCTACAGCTACACCCAAACCCATTTGAAATGACCTATGAACAAGGTTATCGTGGCTTACCATTGATCAGAGCCAAAGACTGGTAGGCAACTCTGGTGTCCATCAAAAGCAGATTCGTTAAAAAATCAGTATTATATCCATATAATGGAGTCAATAAGCAGATATAAAAAAGGAGAATCTCTGGGGACTGATACCCAAAGGGCTCGAGAATATATTATTAAATTCAACTTACTTTACAGCAAGTCGATGTTGCTCAGTGGAAAGGTCTTCAGCTCTTCGGCCTAGTCCTATGGAAAGAAATATTTAGAAATAAGATGTTTGAAGTGATGTAGATCACTAATCCTAAAAGGAGCTTATAAAACTTACTTGAAAGAAGTGATTTTTGTTTCATAAACCATAAAGTGTCCTCGTTTTCCATTTTTTTAAATGCCCTGGATCAAAGGGCTGCCCGTAAACACACATGTGAGGAGGAAAGTCATTTTCGGTTCTTACGAAGAGGGAAGAATTCCAGGGTGACCCCTGTTTAACTCGCACGGTATGAACACGGATCCCGGGGAACCCTCCACACTCATACACTCCTAACATGCTGTGCATGCTTTTGTTGCTACGTGACAGACAAGCCTGCCTCTGCAGCCCGCGCCAGCTTAACTCCCTCCCTGATTACGCTGGTGCAGATGCCAGTCTACGCTGAGGATGGATGGAAAGGGGCAGGGAAAGGAAAAGAACAGGAGACGCCACCCTGAATACAGCGGACACACAAAACGATTGTCAGGAGATCTGTCTTCTTTTAAAACCCATCCATGCCTTGGATGGACCTGGAGATGGTCATTCTAAGTGGAGTAAGCCAGAAAGAGTAAGAAAAATGCCATATGATATTGCTTATACTGATCAAAAAAAAAAAGGACACAAATGTACATATCTACAAAACAGAAATAGACTCACAAACACAGAAAAGAAACTCACGGTTACCAGGGGAAAGTGGGTAGGAAGGGATAAATCAAGAGTTTGAAAACTGCACCTCTCAGGGAGTGATGGAAATGTTAGCTATCTTGCTTGTGGTAGTGGTTTTGTTGGTATATCCATTTATCAAAATTCATCAAATTGTACATCTGAAATACGTGTAGTTTACTGTACAGGAACCATACCACGATAAAGGTGTTAAATCAATCAGTCAGTCAATCAATCTATCCATCTCATCCATGCCATAGAACTCCCAACCAGATCACATCTGTGCTTCCTATAAAATATGTATGTTAACTTAGGGTCAAGGAAACCCAAGTGTCACCTTAAAAGCAAAGGAGGTTGACTTTAAACCCATATATTCAGCTAAGACTGATTATGGTGAGAAGACAAAGTGTTTGTGGAATTCACTTATTCCTCCTACACACAAGAAAAAAAAGAAAAAGGCAAGTAAACATTTTGCTTCATGCAAGCAATATTCCCTCCAAAATAGGGTAAACTGAGAATGCTTTAAAAAGTGAATTTAGTCAAAAAGCCTATGTATTCAAAACAAAACCAAGCCAAGAAGCGATGTTAAAAAAAAAATCACACTTTTTTCTAAGATCTTATCAAATAGTACATACAGCTCTAGCAATCCCAAAATTAAATTGATTTTAGCCATCGATTTATGTTGCTTATGTTTGTCTAGAGCCACTACCAAATGGTTTTCAGGTACAGAAACACGGACCAACTCACCCCGCTCTGCCCAGAACTTTCCCGATTTGGGCACTAAAAAATCTCAGACCCCGGGAAACTCTCGATTCTGGGCAAGGCAAGAGCACTGGTCACCCTAGAAAGACCATCCTCGGAATAAAATTACTCCATTCTCTACATAATGACTAATCACCAAGAATGAAGTAGGAATAAACAGGGTCAAAATGAAATTAAATCAGTTTCCGAGCTTTAAGGATAAACAAGAAGACCTGCTAGCAGAGGCAAAATCTTCTCAACCTGTCAACACACAAGGGAATGTCAACAGTCGGAAAGCACGTGCCAGAGGCAGTCAAATCCGCAGAACAGACTTTTAATTGCATCTGGCATCTCTTAAGCCCATATTGAAATCTCCTGCCCAGCTGAAGTGTAACTCAGTTTTAACAGTGGCAATAATCACACTTTCTGGCCATTTTCAGGAAGGGTCTGAGAGAAAAAAGGTTCAGTTTTCTACAAACAGAAGATTCCTCCCAGCTTTGTATAGGGTCAGGCTGATTTCATTAGATAATTTTCCAAGCCCTCCCTCCACAAAAAAAGTTAACTAGCCAATGCTGTTTACTCTTATTACCTCATAAGCATCTCAGAGATTAAACCAAAGAAAAAGGATGCCATTTCTTCTTAACAGATTGGGAAAGGAAGGACAGAGAGTGCCACAAATTAACTTAAATTTAAAACACTGTAAAGCTAGACAGAAAACCCACTGTTCTCAATGCAAATATGTCAATACTCAACACTCCAGATTCAGCAGGGAAATGGGAAATAATAGCTGGGAAAGTAAAAAGCTGTGATTAAAGCATGCTGCAAATTTTTTTTTACAAGACACAGCAAGATCTGCCAGCCCGTGTCTGGACTTGGGCCTCATGAAGAGCCCTGAATGTCAGGCTCGCTCTTAGAACCAGGAGGAGGGTGTTTTTCTCACCGTCATGAACTTGGAACGCTAAGGTTGTGATCTTCTGAGTGACAATCATCAGGGGCCTAAAAGGAAGAGAGAAAATAGTCAAGATCGGCAAGGTTTTGCCACTGAGGGAAAAAGGAAATCTTTTATTCCATTTCTGAGCACGGTAGTTTTTCATCTTGAAGATGAATAAATACAAAAACACTGAATTGAAAACAATTTTTATTTCCCTTCCAAATCACTTTAAATCAGTAGCTGTAACAATGCTGCACAACCAGGTTGCGCTGCAAAGCCCCCCTTACGCTGCTACTCACGGCTCAGTTCAGGACCAGCACCGCCAGCGCCGCCTGGAGCTCATTTGAAACGTTGGAATCCCACACTCCATTCCAAACCCAGAAAATGAGAACCTGCACTTTAACAAGGCCTCCAGGGAATTCAAATGCACCCTTAAGTGCAAGCAGCACTGGTGTGGGAGAAACCTACTCCCGGGCCCTGGTTCCACCTGGATGGATACATAGTTTGGCTTCTTCATCCTAATCTGGTCTAATGTGCTTTGTTCTATTTAAAGGCAATCACTCCATAGTAAAAGGATCGTAAAATGTAGCTGCTTGTAAGTAAACCACTTACTGACAAAAAAGTAACATGAATCTTAATTTGAAAAAAGCCATCAAATAAAAGCCTAAGGATGCCAAGATAATTCAATGGAGGCGAGAACAGACTTTTCAACAAACAGTGATGGGACAACTAGAAAGCCACATAAGAATACAAAAAGGAATTCAAAATGGGTCAAAGACCTAAATATAAGAGCTACAACTATAAAACTCTAAGAAAACACAGGCATAAATCTCCATGACCTTAGAGTTGGTGATGGCTTCCTAGATGTAACACCGAAAGCACAAGGAAAAGAAAAAAAAAAGATTAAATGGGTGTCATTAAAACTTAATTTTTGTGCTTCAAAGGACACACACCGTCAAGAAAGTGGAAAGACATTTCACAGAATGCATGAAAATATGAGCAAATCACATTATGTGCTAAGGAACTTGTACTACAATATATAAAGAACACTTACAACTCAACAATAAAAAGACAGAAATAACCCATTGAAAAATGGCCAATGGATCTAAAACAAAAGATATACAAACAGGGAATAAGCAAATGAAAAGATGCTCAACAGTAATCAGCCACCAGAGAAATGCTGCTCCAAACAACGAGATGCCACTTCATAAGCACTAGGACGACTAGAATCAAAAAGACAGGCTGAGCTGGCCAGGAGGTGGAGAACCAGAACCCTCCTACATCACTGGTGAGAATACGAAATGGTGCAGCCACTTGAGAAACAGTCTGGCAGTTTCTCAAAAGGTTAAATGTAGAATTACTGTATGACCAAGCAGTTCCACTCCCAGTTACATACCCATGAGAAATAAAAATATGTCTACACAAAAACATGTATGCACCTGTTCAGAGCAACATTATTCATAACAGCCCAAAAGGAAA